GTTTTGGTCTAAATAATACCAATATAGGTAGAAAATCAATTAAAGATATATTCATAAACGAAGTAGCTAGATAGAATAAAGGGTCAATGAAGGAGATTTTTAGACAGAGTTATTGGAAGAGTAGGAAGGGGCCTATTTAAGTCTCCGTGATATCAAGATTTCATAGAGATAGATTTTGTTCGTCAAAATAACAAGGGAAAGGAAACGGCTGGTGTTAAGAGGCATATTCGCAATTATTGAGTAGTTTCGAAGAGTTTTAATTAGAGTGGCCAGTAGGGTCTTTATAAATGCTATCATCAAAAGGACTAATATATAGCAGAGTATCATGTGATAAAATTGTAAAACGTTTTTACATTCATTTGACATTGCACAAATGATCGCATTTTTTAACATATAAAGTGAGCACAAAAACTGGTCAATAAAAAGTGCAACAGGAAAAAAATAGTCGGAGGAACTATATGCGAAAGCATGAAACACTTTTGGAAAGAATTGAAGAGTTTACTCTTCAATTTGAGTACAGTGTTTATAAGGCCTCGTTGTTTAGTGGGGAGAGTTTAATGGTGAACGCAAGTACATTATTGCTCTTTACGCTAGGACAACATGGGTTATCTCGGGTTGAAGATCGAAAGATTGAATACTAGAGTAGCCTGAACAGTCTTATACCAAATATCTGACGATTTTGTGTATAAGCACTGAAGGATTTAGTGGATTACTAGCCGATGGCAAGTGTTCTAACTGAAAACTTACTTGGGGGTCTGCCTCAGTAGGTAGCCAGGTTTCTTACCTGTGACTTACCGAGCGTAACCTCCTCCATGGTTGATTATGTTAAACCTTGGCACTAAATAGTAGCGAAGTGTTTAGCGGACATCACACCAGGGGAATTCAAAGAGGGCTATATGGATGTAGTTTATTTACACATCGACGGTAAAACGACGAAGTGTTAATAGCTACCGATTGATATTTTGTCAATTGTCTAACTTGAATAACTTCAATCGTGAAGAGAGATTCGTCTCTCCGATCGGTAGGCTCGTTAGAGCTGAAAGATAGTTATCTGGTTGATCCTGCCAGTAGTCATATGCTTGTCTCAAAGATTAAGCCATGCATGTCTAAGTATAAGCAATTTATACAGTGAAACTGCGAATGGCTCATTAAATCAGTTATCGTTTATTTGATAGTACCTTTACTACTTGGATAACCGTGGTAATTCTAGAGCTAATACATGCTAAAAATCCCGACTGTTTGGAAGGGATGTATTTATTAGATAAAAAATCAACGCTCTTTGAGCTCTTTGATGATTCATAATAACTTTTCGAATCGCATGGCCTTGTGCTGGCGATGGTTCATTCAAATTTCTGCCCTATCAACTTTCGATGGTAGGATAGTGGCCTACCATGGTTTCAACGGGTAACGGGGAATAAGGGTTCGATTCCGGAGAGGGAGCCTGAGAAACGGCTACCACATCCAAGGAAGGCAGCAGGCGCGCAAATTACCCAATCCCGATACGGGGAGGTAGTGACAATAAATAACGATACAGGGCCCTTTAGGGTCTTGTAATTGGAATGAGTACAATGTAAATACCTTAACGAGGAACAATTGGAGGGCAAGTCTGGTGCCAGCAGCCGCGGTAATTCCAGCTCCAATAGCGTATATTAAAGTTGTTGCAGTTAAAAAGCTCGTAGTTGAACTTTGGGCTTGGTTGGCCGGTCCGCCTTTTGGCGAGTACTGGACCCAACCGAGCCTTTCCTTCTGGCTAACCAAGTGCCCTTGTGGTGTTTGGCGAACCAGGACTTTTACTTTGAAAAAATTAGAGTGTTCAAAGCAAGCGTTTCGCTCGAATATATTAGCATGGAATAATAGAATAGGACGTTATGGTTCTATTTTGTTGGTTTCTAGGACCATCGTAATGATTAACAGGGACGGTCGGGGGCATCAGTATTCAGTTGTCAGAGGTGAAATTCTTGGATTTACTGAAGACTAACTACTGCGAAAGCATTTGCCAAGGACGTTTTCATTAATCAAGAACGAAAGTTAGGGGATCGAAGATGATCAGGTACCGTCGTAGTCTTAACCATAAACTATGCCGACTAGGGATCGGGTGTTGTTCTTTTTTTGACGCACTCGGCACCTTACGAGAAATCAAAGTCTTTGGGTTCTGGGGGGAGTATGGTCGCAAGGCTGAAACTTAAAGGAATTGACGGAAGGGCACCACCAGGAGTGGAGCCTGCGGCTTAATTTGACTCAACACGGGGAAACTCACCAGGTCCAGACACAATAAGGATTGACAGATTGAGAGCTCTTTCTTGATTTTGTGGGTGGTGGTGCATGGCCGTTCTTAGTTGGTGGAGTGATTTGTCTGCTTAATTGCGATAACGAACGAGACCTTAACCTACTAAATAGTGCTGCTAGCTTTGGCTGGTATAGTCACTTCTTAGAGGGACTATCGATTTCAAGTCGATGGAAGTTTGAGGCAATAACAGGTCTGTGATGCCCTTAGACGTTC